GGGTGGCGGGGCGGGGGGGGGGGGGGGGGGGGGGCGGGGCAGTGGGATCTGGGTACAGACCAATGTGCCTCACCTGGCCCCCAAGGATGCTGGGAGAGATGGGGTCAGAGGTGACTCCCAGGGAAATCAAGTGGTGGTCACCTCTCCCAGGCTCAGCTGGGATGGTAGGTTGGCTTGCTGGGGGTGGGGTGTGTGTGGCAGTAGTGGGAGGCACTTTGGACAGAATCTGATTTGGCAAATGGGGGATCTCCTCTCCCCAATGATTCCCAGCCTCACCTGGGCCTCCCACAGCTAAGGCAGGTTCTTAAACTTAAGGCCAAGGTTATCCTTCTCCCCTGGGCTCCCAGGAGAGCAGAGAACCTGGTGAGCATGCCACTCCTGCAGCGCTAGGGGCGCAGGTAAATGCAGCAGTATATGGAGGGGGAGGTCTGTAGTGAAGGCAGGGCTGCTTGCTTCTGTTTCCCCCAGAAACGTCCTTCTGTCCTCTCAGACTTTATTCCTTGGTGGCTTCACCCTGGGGAAGAGCTGAGGGGAAACAGAATCTTCAGACAGACACCAGGAGCTCCTGCCCCCTCATCCCACACCCAAGTATGTGGACTGTCTCCATCCTCCCATCCCTTCCTAATGGATTCTCTCGGCATCTCTCAAACCACTCCAGGATCCCCGAGATCCTTGCCCACTCCAAGCACCAGATGGAGCCTTCCAATCAGCAGCCCCATGGATGAAATGGAGTATTTTGAGTCTCCTGCACTGTGCTAAAGGAGATGCCCATCTACCACCGTGGGTGTCTGGTTGGGTCCCACTTCCACCCACTCCCAAAGTTCTCTCCCATGAACATAATGGAATCTTCTTGATCTCCTCCCCCAACCCTAGTAGAATCTTCCTCAGTTCTACGATAATTTTATTAATGGATTCTTCCTCTCCCTGCCCAATGTAGTGTAATAAGTGCTTTCTCCACCATGACTGTAATGTACAATTCTTTAACTCCCCCCCCCCACTCCATTTTAGTAAAATGGAATTTCTTCATTGCTCCCTTTGGCTAAAATGAAATCTTCCTGGAACTCTCCATCAATATAATCAGGGATGATGATAAAAATATTTGATTGAGCATGAACCAATCAGATCACCAGTAAGGCAGTACTGGTGACTACCAGCCTGTACAGGGCTCTTCCTCGACTACTCCCCTAACTGTAAGGGACTCTCCGTTACCCCCACCCCATTACTATAATGGGCTTTTCCTCTCCTCCCCACAACCAGTAATGACTTTTCTAATCCCTCCCGCATATAATGGACTGTCCACCTCCCCAACCCTTCTTTTTCCTGCAGGCCCATGTGGTATCTCCTCTGGGCTCACCCCGAAGTAGTTACGGGGCACGTAGCCCTCCTGGCCGTGCAGTGCAGCCCACCACCAATCGGTCTCCTCTGGAGCGTCCCTCCGCAGCACGGTGACCGACTCGCCCTCGCGGAAGGACAGCTCATCCCCGAACTCGGCGCTGTAGTCCCAGAGAGCGTACACTGTCCCGTTGTACATCAGCCCCATACTCTGCTCCACATCTGAAATATGCCATGGCCGGGATTGTGAGAGCCCGGCCCCAGGTGTCCAGGAACATGGGACACGCCGAGGACAGGGACAGGCCCAGCGATTTGGGGCCTGCCCCAGCAGAGGGATAAGCCACTTGAAAAGTTGCGTGTGCCAATGTCTGAGGATGGGAGGCAGAGCTGGAGGCACATGTTCGGACTTGCAATCTCTAACATTCGAAGGCATTGGGGTGCGTCAAGCTGAATCACCTACCCCCGAGGCAGGGTCAATGGCTCCCATTCCCCTCTTGTACATTGTTGAATCCCTGTGTCACCCTTACAGGTATAGTCTTCTGCTTCCCCGACTGAAGTGGTACACTTCCCCTAAAAGATTCAACCCCTTCCTCAAATGGTACAGTCCTACTGCCCCCGCCCCCTTTAAGTGCTCTCATCGCCCCCTTTCTGGGTGGTTCAGTCCACACTGCCCCTCTTCCACAAGCGGTACAGCCTCCGAGAGGGTGCAATTCTCCAGACCGTAGAGCCCCCCAGAACCCCGCCGCCCCTTAAGCGGTACAAACTCCATCAGTAATTTAGCCCCCTTTCCAGATGGTATAATATCCTATGGTCTCCCTCTTCAGTGGTTCAGCCAAAAAGTTTCTCCTCCCCTCCTTGCCAAGTGTGTTGTCCAGTCTTTACTTCACCTTCACAAACTCTCCATGTATGAGGCAGGTACCTCCCCTCCCTGCCAAGTGTGTTGTCCAGTCTTTACTTCACCTTCACAAACTCTCCATGTATGAGGCAGGTAGAACAGTACAATCCTCACATCTCAGTTCCACTTACCTGTGACAAAGGTGTAACGGCCCAACCCCCTCCACAAAGTTTGCAGCCCTTTCTCTCTTCAGGCGGGTCTACATGTGTCGTGAGTGGTACAGTTCACATGTGCCCGTGCTGACCCCTAAGGCGGGCATCAGAGCCCCACGCCTCTCACCTCCTTTCTGCCGTAGGTGCCACAGCCCGCTGTCGCTGTCGTGCAGCCCCACTAGGCTTGCCTTTCAAATACATAAACCTGTCTCACCCCCAGGTTCTAGGAACTGCCTTACTCCAACTGTGAAGTCCTTAACCCAACCGATGGTACAACTTGCCTCTCCAAGTGTGCTGTAGAGTCTCTACGCACAGCACCCATGGCACAGCCTACCAGTTCGACATTGGGGAGCCAAGTAATGCAGCCTGCCACCAGGAGAGAGATGGTACGGCCTTATGTCTCCCTACAAGTGGAACAGTCCCCAAGCCGCTTCCCAGCAGCCATGGCCTGTGTGTATCCAGTACTGTCTCTCCCACAGCTGGCAGAGCCCACCTGCCCAGCAGATGGTAGAGCTGGAACGTCCAACTCCCCATCCCCACAGGTGAGAAAGCAGATGAGCAGCACAGTCTCCACGACCACTCTCCTTCAAGGTGGCACAATCCCCCCACCCTACTTGCACCTGCCAGGTGGGATGCCCAGTCCCCCCCTTTCGCAGGTGGTCCATGCCACCTCCCTGTCCCCAGGCGATCCTGCCATGTGCTTGCTACAGCCACAAACGCCCTCCCCTCCTTTGTAGGGTGCAGTCTGCCATCTTCCCCCGGCGCCTGCGAACGCATCAGTTGTGGGCGGCCCACACCTCCCACACGGAAGCCTCGGCCCTGCCTCGCACCTGCCAGGTAGGTGGCGCAGTCAGCATAACCCTCGCGGTAGGGGTCGCACTTCTCAATGGCGGTGGCGCCATCGCTGAGCGTGGTGGCGAAGATCGCGGCGCCGTGCTGCACTAGCGCGGTGCAGATGGCCGTGTCGTTGCACGACGCCGCACAGTGCAATGGTGTCCTAGGCGTGGGAGGGGTGCGTGAGAGGCCGCGAGTCTGCCCGCGGGTGCCCCCGCCCGCAGCGCAGTCCCAGTCCGGCGCCCGCACCGCACGGGGCAGGGCTCACCAGCCGTGGCTGTCGGGGGAGTTGACGTTGGCGCCCGCGGCGATGAGGAAGTCCACTATGGGGTAGTTGGCACCGCAGATGGCGTTGTGCAGGGCCGTGATGCCCTCCTCATTGGGCTGGCTCGGGTCGTTCATCTGGGTGGATCGGGGGAGGGGAAGCTCAGTCCCGCGGCTGTCCTCCAGCACTGCCCACACCCGCCCCGCTCTGGCTCAGCAGCCCTCACCTCCTTCACCGCCTGCTGCACCACCTCCAGCTCCCCGGTCAGCGCAGCGTCCAGCAGCAGAACCAGTGGGTTGAGGCGCGCGCGGCGGGCCTTGCGCGGGGAGCCCGCCTTCCGCAGCACAGAGCGCATCTCCTGGTGGACAGGGAGGGGTTTTCACAGACTTGGAGGGATTGTTAGTATATCCATCACCCAGAGGGAGAGACAGAGGTTCAAGGGCCGGGCGGCAGTTGCCGGTCACCCATCTACACAGGGGTGGCTGGGATTCACACCCTGGGATGTGCAGAGCTCCAGTCCAGAGGGGCAGGACGGCCTCAGTTCTCCTAGGGTCTCAGTTCCTTACCACAGTCAGGGAACCCTGTGATTTGGGAATCCTGGGCCCTGAGACCTGAAAGGAAGCTGAGAGGCCATGGAGTTGGTAGCAAAGTAATTCTATGCCTTCAAGGCAATGACTGTGGAAGCCAGTTCACACACAGTCTCATTTCTTTTATATATATATATATTGTTAAATGCTATGAAGCACACATGACATGTTACCAGGTGTTAACTCCAGATGCTTGCAATTTGAGGATGCATGATCATATTATTCCTTGTGCTTTTAAAATTTTCCTCCTACAAGATTCATTTATTCTGAGTGTGTTTGTGTAGCATTTGTTATTCTAGCCTTTGCTGTCTCCAGAATTTCAGTGATTTCAAGATTCTGGAATTCAGAGGCCCCAAGAGCCACTGAATCCAAAGTTCTCTAATGCTCAGTTATTTCAAATTTCTAAATATGTTGTGATTGCAGAAACATTAAGTTGTGCTGTTTCAAATTGCTGAGGGCCCAGGAGTTTGCAATCTCAGGATTCTATGATTGAGAACGTTAATATTTTACAGCTAGAATTTCATTCCAAAAGACTGGAAGGAAATACTTAAAATGTTAGTTATAGTTCTCTATGAGTGCTGTGATTTTATCCTCTTTATTCTATTTTTATCTATTTCCCCCAAGTTTCCCATGGTGTTTGTGTATTTCTTTACAGTGGAAGGTATTAATTTAAAATATAATTCTGCACTATAACATATTAGTGCACTGATCAGTGATCTTATAATTCAAATTACGAGTCTTGAATATTCAGCTTAGGCGACTTCAAGAACGACTAATTAGAGACATGATACTAACTTTATAATTCTTTTTTTTTTTAAAGATGACCGGTAAGGGGATCCTAACCCTTGACTTGGTGTTGTCAGCACCACGCTCACCCAGTGAGCGAACCGGCCATCCCTATATGGGATCCGAACCCGTGGCCTTGGTGTTATCAGCACCGCACTCTCCCGAGTGAGCCACGGGCCGGCCCGTAACTTTATAATTCTAAGGCCCTACTCTTCAAACCTTCAGTGCTCTAGGATTCTAAAATTTTACTATTCTGAGATTGTGATATCAGGATTTAATTCTTGAATTCTATGATTTTTCAAGTTTCTCTGCGATCAGGACTTTGTGATTCTACAATGGGACAATTCTGCCATTTCAAAATGTTGTCATTCTTCTCCTCTTGATTTCAAGATCCTGAGCTGCAACATTCCTTGGCACTCCCCTCAGGAGGACCAAGGAACAGGCATTTTGGGGTGTCTACCCGGCCCCCACTTCTCTGGGAACTGTTATTCTCCTTTTGTCTACCCACACCGAGTGTTCAGATCTGTTCCATGTAACTATAGTCCTGCCCCCAGCCAAGATGCAGGGACTGACTGGACCAAGATCAGCAGGAGACCATCCCTGGTTAAACGATAACAATAACAGTAGTTAACAATATGTGCTAGGCAGTACTCTAAGCACTATATTAATATCTTTAATCCTCACGGCAACCATATGAGGTAGGTACTGTTATTCTCACCCCCACTTTACAGATGAGGAGACAGGCCCAGAGAAGCTGAGTGTCCTGCCCAAGGTTGTACATCTGATAAGTGGTATGGAGCCAGGATTTGAACACAGGCAAGCCCAGCTTTACAGCTGGTGTA